ATATACAATATAAGTCTTGCTCAAGAGGCTGGAAAATGGGAGCCAGGCCTGAGATGAGAATTCTCGGAACATATTGAAAGTATATATTTTTATAAAACCACTTGCCCAGCTGCTAGTGGGAGACATACACTTTTAGGTGGTAGATGGTTGGAGAGAGCAAGGAGCTTCCTAATAATACATTGCAGTGGATTGAATTATGTCCCCCCAAAATTCATTGGAGCTTGAATTGTGTCCCCCAGGTTTTGTGTACTAGAAACTTAGACCCCCTGTGACTGTTAAGAGGGTGGTAAGTGAAAGTTAGAGCCTTGAAGAGGTGATTGGATTGTAGGACCGTGCCATAGTGAATGGATTAAAAAAGGTTGTCAGGGGCTTGGTTCTGAGGGCTTTAAAAGAAGAGAGTCTGTCTTTCGCTCTCTCTGCTCTCTCTGCTTCCACCGTCTTGCAATGTGAGACCCCTGAGTCACTGTCACCACCACCAGATGGACTTTGGACTTTCCAGCCTCAGAAACTATAAGAAATAAATTTCATTTTCTTTTAAAATTATCCAGTTCCATGTATTTCGTTACAAGCAGTGGAAATGGACTAATACACACATCTTTCAAGTGTTGGGATGTGTGTGTGCTCATGTCAACCTCACTCTGGCTCTCTCACATGGTGGCTGTTTTCTGTTCCTGACCCCTCTGGGTGCAGGTGAGATGAGTTTCCTTCTTGCTACTCAGTTGCTCAGTGCTATTTCTTTTTTTTTTTTTTTTTTTTCCTTTTTGAGACCGGCCGCACTGTGCTCAGCCAGTGAGCGCTGTGAGCACACCGGTCATCCCTATATAGGATCCGAACCCATGGCGGGAGTGCTGCTGCGCTCCCAGCGCCGCACTCTCCCGAGTGCGCCACGGGCTCAGCCCAGTGCTATTTCTAAACCCCTCCTCCCTTTTCCTTAACCTCACCCCTCACTTTGATTCTCAAGTCACCAGACTATACCATTCACTGATTTCCAAGTTATATTCACCTCCAGGTCTTTTCCTGAAATTTCTTGAAGATTGTTGCTCCTGGCTCTTATCAACTCTACTTTTGGAATATTTTTTGGTGATTTCAGTATCATCATGGATAATTCATCCAGTGCTCTGGCTCTTCATTTCTATGACCTGTTCTACTCCAGTGATCTTGTTCTTTAACTTAACTCAGCACTCCCTCCCTTGGTCATACCATAGACTTTGACAGTCCCAATAACTTTGACAGTACCACAGCCCCCTCCATACTCTCAGTTTTGAGCATCTCACTCTCAGACCACCACATCTTATCTTATCAGCACACTCCCTCTAGTATCCTGTTTTCATGAACCTCAGACCCACACTGGAACCTATAGTCTCTTGACTCTACCAAATTTTCACTGCCCCTTAACTCCCATTTGTCTTCTCTTCCTTCATTACCTACTTTAAATTCTATAATCAGTCATTTAATTATTCCCTTGTATTAATCTTCAACTCCCTTGCCCTTTTCTTGCTTGATGGTAATATTTTGGCAAAACCTCTACCCTGGCTAAAATTCAATTCTCTATCTACTTCATTTCCTGTAACCATGCAACTGAAGAAAATCATTCAACCATGCTGACTGATCTCACTTTAAATTCATAATCATGAACCTCATATGAGTCCTTAAGACCATCCAGCAGTTGTACTTGTCTCTGGTTCACACCTTCTGTCTTCTGGAAAACCATTCTATACCTCCTCTTCCTTCCTCAAACCTCCAACATCTCTTCCTCTATTTTATTAATTGGTGATCTTGCTTCTTATTTGTATTAGTTATCCCTTGCTATGTAAAAAATTACCCTAAAATTTAGCATCTTAAAACAACCAACAGTATCTCACATAGTTTCTGATCAAGTTGTTGGTTGAGAGTACAGACTTGATTAGGCCTGATCTACTCCAAGCTCATTCACAGGGCTGTTGATAAGAGGCTTCAGATCCTTGCCATGTGGACCTCTTTATGGAACTGCTCATGACCTACATGGCTTTCCCCAGAGCAAGTGATCTGAGAGCGAGAAAGAGAGAGGACACAGTGTTTTTTATAACTTAACCTCTGAAATAATATACTATCACTTCTGCTATATTCTATTGGTTATACAGACCAACTCAGGTATAATGCAGAAAAGGACTACACAAAGGTGTGAGTACCAGGAGATGGGGATTATTAGGGGGCATCTTGGAGGCTGGCTACAATACTATTTTACAGAGAAAACAGAGAAATCAGAAGAGAACTTCCACAAGCTCCTACCACCACATTACCTAATTATCAGTATATATTCTAACTCCACTGCCATTGTTATAATTAACTCTCCCTCCTGCTATCTGAGGCCAATCCCTCCATTTATTAGTAGATCCCATTTCTCCTTGCCTACTTAGGGACATAGATCCAAAAATTCCCCCTTCTCTCCCCTGCATCATCAGTTTCCCCCTATCTACTGGATAACTCCCATTAACAAAAAACATATGCTGTGATCTTAAAGGAAAGAACTCTCCAATAACTCTACCTCTCCTTTCAGCCACCCATTTCTCCGCACCCCTTTACAACAAAATGCATTGGAAGAGTTGTCTAAAATTGCTGTCTCCAATTCCTTCTCCCATTCTCTCTCAAGTCTACCTCATCAGGCTTTTGCTCTCCAACTGCTCCAAAAATGCTGCTCTTTTAAGAGTTCTCAATGACCTCCACATTGTTAATGCCAATAGTCAATTCTCAGTCCTTTCTTTATTTGACCTATCAGCAGGATGTAACACAGATGATCTCTCCACAATGGAACTTTTTTTTTTTCACTTGGCTTTCAAGGTATCAAACACTCCTGGTTTTCTTTCTTGTTTACTGACTGATCATTCCCAATCTCTTTGCATTCTCCTCCTCCTCTTTTCAGCCTCTTCCATGTTGTAATATCCCAGGGCACGGTCTTCGGATCTGTTTTCTTATCTGTTTATATTTAGTCCCTTGATGATTCCATCCAGTCTCATGGCTTTATATCTATAGGCTAACAACTCTCAGATTTATATTTTCACCCCAGAATTCTCCTCTGAACGCCAAATACTTTTATCATACTATCTTCTTGGATGTCGATTAGATGAATAAGGCTTAATCTGTCCCACACTGAACTCCTGATCTTCCCCCTTTCAAACCTACTCCTTCCACCATCTTCACCATATCAGTAAATGGCAATTCCATCCTGTCAATTGCGCAGGAACAAACCCCTAGAGTTTTCCTTGATTCCTCTTTTTCTCTTTCTCACAACCCATATACAAACCTTCAACAGATCCTGAAAGTCTTGCCTCCCAAATATATCCAGAATTCAACCACTTCTCATCATCTGCACCACTATCTCCCTGATCCAAGACATCATAATTCCTATCCAGATTATTCCAATAGCATCCTAATTGGTGTCCTTTCTTCTACCTTTACCCCTTCAGTCTATTCTCACTACTTCATCCAGAATGATTTTTTAAAAATTTAAGTCACATTATGGCATTCCTTTGCTCAAAACCCTCCAACAGCTCCCCATCTCAATACCTTACAGTGACTTACAATGCTCTATATGATTGCCCACCCCCCAATTTTTGACTTCCTGTCTCAAAACTCTTTCCCTCTCACTCTGCTCCAGTCACACTACCCTCCTTGCTGTTTCTTAACCAGGCAATGCTCTCACCTTGGAACGTTTGTACTTGCTATTCCCTCTACCTGGAACGCTCTTTCGTAAAACTCACCCTTGAAGATTAGAGTGGCTTGTTCCATTATCTCATTTAAGTCTGCTAAGAAATACCTCAGTGAAGCCTTCTTTGGTCATCCTATCTAACGTTTCATCTCTCCCCCTCCCCCCAACACACTCCCTATCCTCCTCTGCTTTTACTCCACAGTACTCATCAGCATCAGACACTTTTTTTTTTATCTATCTATCTATCTATCTATCTATCTATCTATCTATCTATCATCTATCTATCTATCTATCTATTTCTGACCGGTAAGGGGATCGATCTATCTATCTATCTATCTATCATCTATCTATCTATCTATCTATCTATCTATCTATCTATCATCTATCTATCTATCTATTTCTGACCGGTAAGGGGATCACAACCCTCGGCTTGGTGTCGTCCGCACCACGCTCAGCCAGCGAGCGCACCTTATATAGGATCCGAACCCGTGGCGTCGGCGCTATCAGCGCCGCACTCTCCCGAGTGAGCCATGGGGCCGGCCCAGACACGTTTATTTACTCATTCATGTCATGTTTTTGTTCAGTTACTTCTCCTCACTCTACTGGAAATTCCCTGAGCAAGGGATATTCGTTTATTTTGTTCACTGCTATACATCTCCAGTACCTAGGACAGTACTGGTTATAACAAGCTCACAATAATGTATGTCAAATAAATGAATGGGTATCCCACAGGGACAATGAGGTGTCCCTGGATTAGCAGCTTGGAGCAGAGAGGGAGACGACTCCCGAGGCTGTGAAGTTCAAATATAAGACTATGTATGAAACAGCGTTGCAAACGTAATGAGCTGTACGAAGGATCAGTATGATTTATTGTTGGTTTAGTTTATGCCTCCAGGAACCCCTGCTGGGCCCGCTTTCCTCCTCCATCCTTTTCCCGTGCTTTCCTCAGCTGGGGCTCCAGACCCACCCAGTCGGACAGATCATCAGGCCAACGTATCTCTTCTCCGGCGGGATTTGGAAAAGTCTTAGCACCAGTCTCCGTACCCTCTGCCACCGCCTCTTAGCTCTCCCATGACCCGGGAGCCCCGCGCACCCAACAACCCCCGCCCCCTTAGCCAGACAGGAAACGGAAGTGACGAAGCCTGAACCCCCGCCCATACGCCCTCGCAGCCCCGGGGAGGTGACGCGAGGCCCGGAAGGGGCGGGCACCAAGCTGCGGAGGGCGTGGGCGTGGCGGCCCATCCGAAAGTGGCCGTTTACTTGAGGCGGTTTCCTTAGTACCCCGAGTGATTTGAGTCTGTGGTGAGCTGCGGGCGGGCGCTGGGCCGGTGCTGTCGCAGCAGGAGTGGACCCCGGGGCCTCAGAAACAGGCTTTTATCTGGCCCGGGACTGCCAGCCGTGCAGCGCTTCTCTCCATAGCCGAATACTGAGTATTTGGACTCTGCTTCAGGCCCAAGTTCCCCGCCCTTCCCCGCTCCGCCTTTCTCTCTGGCTGCTACTGTCACTGCCTCCCTTTCCTACCTCGCTGTGCCCTCCACTAGGCACAATCTTCGTTCTCTCAAATCCGTCCTTTTTTTCCTCTCTTCCGCATCCCTTCCAGAAAGCAATTTAAAAGTCTTTCCTTCCCTCTTTATTTTTTCTTACTTGTCTTTCTTTCTCTTCTCTTTCCTTTACTTCTTTGTTTTTTTCACTCCCTGCCAGGTTTCTGCCTTCTCCAGGGCTTCTCTCCTTTTCAGGCGCCTGTGGTTCGTGTGTTAGGAAGTTGAGCTTTTAACGCAGTCGTTTGAAGATTTTAACCTTTTCCTTTCTCCTAACCAGGAGTCACAGATGCCAGGACGTATGGCCCCCCTCAAGAAGTCTCAGAAGGCCACAAGGTTGCCCCTGGCTCTAAACCCCCTGAAGAGCAAGGACGTGTTGGCAGTGCTGGCTGAGAGGAACCAGTCTGTAGTACCAGTTGGGGCGTGGGTAGAACATGCCTCCCCAGATAGTTCGGAAATCCCTGCATATGTGAGTGTCAGTTTGACCCCTCCTCTTCTTTTTATTAATTAGCTTTCTCTAATCCTTGGTGCTTAGATAAAGATGAACAGTCTGAGGATGCCATTTCTATTCCATCATAAGTAGATATGTTTTTGCATTAAGATTATAGAACAGATATGTATTTGCCAAAGCTTGCTGCAGCTTCAGTTGGCATAAGCAAATATTTATTACTTACCTACTGTATGGACCATAAATCTACATGGGATTGTATATCCAGTCATGCGTGGCTTAACTACAGGGATATGTTCTGAGAATGTGTCCTTAGGCAATTTTGTCTTTGTGGGAACATCACAGGGTGTGCTTACACAAAGCTAAATGGTATAGCCTACTACTCACCTAGGTTGTACAGTATAGCCAATGACTTCTAGGCTACAAGCTTGTACAGTATGTTACTGTACTGAATACTATAGGTTCATAATACAATGGTAAGTACTCAGGAATCCAAATATCTAAACATAGAAAAGGTACAGAAAAAATGCTGTGCTATAGTCTTATAGGACCACCATTGTATATGCAGTCTGCTGTTGGTCAAAATGTCATTGTGCACTGCACAACTGTATAATATATATGTGTGTGTATATAGTCTTCTCAAATTATTGCTTGCTCACTATACACAAGACATAAGCACTATCTACATCTTCCAGACACTGTACAATTTAGCAGGGATGACAGTTGGCCACACTTTAAGTAACATTAATTGGTAGCTTAAAGTTTATGATAAGTTTCATAATGGAGATTCAGGCAAAATGGAGTAAGAGAATAAAGGAGAAAAAGATTAATTCTAACAGGGATTCTGAGAAAGTCTTAACTATAAATTCCATGAGGACCTTTCTGTCTTTTTCATTTCTGTCCTGGCATAAAGTAGGTGTTCAGGAAGTATTTGTTGAATGAATGAGGAAATATAGTCTATGTTGGTCCTTAAAGAATAGAAATGCAGTAAGTACAGATGGTAAAGAAAAGCATATCATGTGAAGGGAAACTTTTGCAAAGTTTATACCAATTAACACACAAGGGCAGTTTTGTAAGGTTTTTGATAGTCTTTCACCAAACTGTGCCCCTTATCTATTATTCTTATTTTATTGTGGCACTTATTATGTTGTATTATAGTAGGTTGTTTGTATAATCTACTTTTCCTGATGGAGTATGAGCTCCTTGAGCATAGGGACAAATCTTATTTATCATCACATCCCCATTTTTATTTTAAATAAATACTGCCTAATAAACACAGGCACTGAGTACATATTTATGGAATGCACAAAATCTGTGAAGTATAGGTTAAAAAATAAAATCTGTGTAGTATAGTATCTGTATGTATATATCAGGTGCTGAACATGGATAGGAAAGTATAAGGTATGTTCCCTCAGTGTACTTGATCTCAGAGGAGAAATGAGACATGTTTAAAGTAAGTGTTATAAGTGTAATCATGCGGTGTTTGTCTTTTTGTGAGTGGCTTATTTCACTTGGTATAATGTCATTAGGTTCATTCAGGTAGCATGTAACAGAAATTCCTTTTTTTTTTAAAGCTGAGTAATGTTCCATTTCATGTATATACCATTTTCACTACTTTTTTTTTTTTTTGCGACAACTTTTTTGCTCTGTAATTTTATTTTGTTCTTTGATGTTTTTCCTGGTATAGAACATAAAGGTTGTCTTATCATGTATATTGAATTTACCTCTGAGAAACCTAATTGAGTAAGTGAAGGATTTGTAGACATGAAAATTTAAAAAATATTTCTGCTAGGTTTTCAAACAATTCATTAGAAATAGAGCAAGTTTATAAGATAATTGGTAATCTTTGATAATGCAAGATATTTTATAAAATATATGATATTGTCGGTCTTTCAAGCAATATGACATGAACCAAAATAAAAATAGATCCTTTTGACCTTTTAAAAAATAAAGTGTTATGTATGTACGTACATATTCATTGATTTATTCCTACCCTGCTTATTTTCAGAAAAGATTTTAAGAGTCTGAGTAGTATTTGATTAAGTTCGAAGAATATGATCCTTAACCAAAGAAGAAAGATATGACTTTGGGTTGATATGATCCAGGAAAAAGTTTAATGAGTAATTTAGATAACCAGAGAAGAGAAGGAGATGATTCTCCTATGAAGGAGAATGAGGAGAGTAGGAAGTAAGTAAAGCGTGTCCAGGATTCTAAGGGTAGATTAGATTGATTGGAGTGGAAGGTTTGGTAGGGGAATGGAGGTTGACAGGATTATAGAAAATAAGGATGGTAGGGTACCAGAAGAAATTTTGGAGAAGCGATTGACTTTACTCATTGTTTAACATTTACAGATGAATTTCATGATCAAACAGTATTTTTTTTTTAAAAAGATGACCAGTAAGGGGATCTTAACCCTTGACTTGGTGTTGTCAGCACCACGCTCAGCCAGTGAGCGAACTGGTCATCCCTATATGGGATCCGAACCCGGGGCCTTGGTGTTATCAGCACCGCACTCTCCCGAGTGAGCCACGGGCCGGCCCATCAAACAGTATTTTGATTACACTGATTGCTTTAAAGTTTTTAAAGATTAAGGAGAGGTTAGATCCTGGGGGGACAAATTAGGGTATAATTATAACAATTTAGGCATGAAGTATAGCATCGAAAGTTCTTTAGTGGTAAGGAATGGAAAGGAAAGCCTTGAAAAAGGAGTGGATAAAATGGGAATGAAAAGGGATGAATGCAAGAAACATTCCAGAAGAATCAGTAAGATTTGGTACAAAGGTATTTAAGTTATTAACACCTCTTTTTAATTGCTCAAATTATGACATCTCTAATATCAGTAGTATCAAAATCTCTAATATTTGACACTATCAGGCTTTTTCTTTTTGTGCGGTAAAAAGGGTAGAATCTTATGTTCCTACACATTTACTAAAAGTGTTCAAGTCTTGGAAAGTGTATAAACATGTCTCCTTTTCCTTGTTTAAAAATTTCCCATCAGTGCTAAACAAAGGGAGTTTGATCAAGCATCTAATAGAAATCTTTACTGCTTTAGCATATCTTGTATGTGAATCTACCCTTATTAACAGATGTAGCTCTGTCACCTCAGAATACATGCTGAATAGTTACTTCTAAAGCTTGGTTATCCTGAGATCATGTCTATTCTAAAGAGTAACTCCTAGTCATTTTTCTCCCCAAAATTTCACGGGGCCACCAGGATTTCTAAAAATGCCATAGCTTCAGACCCCCATGTCAGTTAAATTAGCATCAAAAGACACTGCTGTCCTATCATTGTATGTGACTATTGCATTACTTTATAACTTGTTCTTGTTATCTTTTGCTGTATAACAAACCTCTCCAGAACTTAATGGCATAAACCAAATACTGTGTGTCAGGAATTTGAGCAGGGTCCAGTGGGGATGGCTTGTCTCTGCTCCACAGTGTCTGGCTCAAATAGCTGGACATGACTGGGACAGCTTGCTGGGTTCTGGCTGTTGGTTGGATTCCTTGGTTCTTCATGTGGCACCTGCTGGGCTGTAATATCGAAGATGGCTTTCTCACTCATATATCTGACAATTGGGCTATAATGACTTCAATTGCTAGGGGCTGGCTGGATATCTTTCTGTTTCCACATGGCCTTTCTATTTGGCTAACTTGGGCTTCTTCACAGCACAGTAGTCAGAATTCTTTTATGGTGCTGGGTTCCCCCACAGTGAATACTTCAAGAGCCCCAGGTAGAGGTTGCTTTAGGACCTTGCTTGGGAAGACACAGAGCCAACACTTCTGCCTCATTCGGTTGGATGTATAGAGCCAGATCAAGTTCATTGTGAGGGAGGATTACACTAGAGCACAGATACCAGGAAGCTTAATTAACATTGAGGAGAGGAGGAGAGATCATTTTTAGAGACTAACCGCTACATAATCTAAGCATCAATTCCATCCTATGTGAATTATCCAAAATGTGTTCTTTGTTGTGAGAAACACTTCATTCTATATTGCCCACTTGGGAGTCCATAGGATGCAAAAAGGCTATAAGTTAGTTGTGCAATCAAAGCAATATTTAACTTTGTTTAACCCAGTATTTCCCAAATTTATTTAACTCTGGGAAACCACAGAACAAGTGTTCTCAGGTTCTGATTACCTTGCACAGTGGTGTTTGCTAGGAAAAATATGTTTCATGTTTCTGAAATCTGGTCCACTCATCTTTGGTTTACAGTTGAGATCCAGTATCTGTAATTGATCATGCACTTCAGTGAGATGTTTGATCATTTTAGCGTGAGGATAAAAGGAACAGACAGAGAAAATGGAAGTAAAAGAAAGAGACTGAATGACTTAAACATGTCTGGGCCTTGAGTTAATCTGGGTCAGTTATTCAGGCTTTATTACATATATCTATCCTTTGGAATTATTTTACCTAATTTTTTTTGATATTTGTATTGTACATTCCACTCCTGTGGTTCATACTCTTGTAGAATACTTTATGGGATAGATTTCTTGGAAAATTTAATTTAAACTTAAACTTATAATCATTTGATTTTGAGAATTTAATGACAATCTGTGAAATAATCTGAGACACCCTTTAGAATTAGAAATTGGAAGCACTGTGTTACAAGGAATAGATAGGAGGTATGATGATGATTTTATTTAATTTGAACATTCCTTATGAAGGAAAGACATAGTCAAGAGAAAAGTGGTACAGAATAGAACACAAGGGTTGGAGTCAGAGAAACTTCGGGCTCTGCTACTACACATCTGTATGATCTTGGGCTACTACTAAAGATTACTTAATCTTTCTGAACCCCAGTTTTCTCATCTGTAATATAGGGATAAGAATACCTACTACAAAAGGTAGTTTTGAGGATCAAGTGATATAATGTAGATAAAGTACTTGTCACATAATAGATCCTTAATAATGATAACTGCTGTTGTTATGATGACTGTGACTGTTATTCAAAGCACTTAGAGGAGGTGAATGCAGATCAGGGACTCAAATGGGATAAAATGTTCCAGATAGTTTAGAATATGTTTTGGAATTGAGCAATTATATCAATATTCATGGAATGCTTTAATAGTCAAGGCTCTGTACTGTATGCTGAAGGGGAACAAAAGAAAATTAAATACATTTCTTGCTCTCAAAGAATTCATAATCAAGCAGGGGAGTCAAGAAGTACTGTGCTCAGTTAACGTTAGTAAAATGAGAGGTGCCATAGCATAAGAGAGATCAGAGGAAGAAGGTGTTGTGGAAGGTACTGGGGGGTAGGTATTAATGGTCTTGAAGACTTAGTAGTCTTTTATTAGGTGGAGATGAGAGGAATGGCATGCAAGGTTAAAAATGGAACATAGTTTGATTATGAAGACATTTTACAGTAGGATATATTTGATGAGTGGTGAGCAATCTGGTGTGTGTGGACTGTTCACTCATTTTAGAATATGTGTAACACAAGATTGGCTTGATTGGTTTGTTAAGAATTAATGAAGACATCTTTAGTTCCAGTTCAATAAAAAATTAAAATTTGATTTGAGTACTCACGAATTCCAGTTTTTAGTTTGTGATTTGGTTTAAGTTCTTGGTACTCACTAGCTTTGTCTAGATTATCAGCTCTGAACTCCTGTGATTTTCTTATTCTTATGGGAATTTTTGATTATAGAAATGAACTTTTTTTCAGGATCAGATCCTGACTGCTTTGTGTTTCTAATAGTGCTAACGGGCAAAACTGCTGACATTTAAATTCATTTTTTTATCTTTCATCTTTAAAGACTTCAGCATATATGGTTGAAGAAAAACTAAAAGAACAGTTAAGGAAAAAACAAGAAGCTTTGAAACATTTTCAGAGACAAGTCAAACACCGAGTAAATCAACAAATTAGGCTAAGAAAAAAGCAACAGCTTCAGAAGTCTTATGAAGCAGTAAGTTCAAAAGTGAACCTCACTCAGTAAAGATTGAGTGGAAAGTATGTGTTACGGGATAAACTGTTAGGCAGTAACAGTCACTTTCTTTTGATTCCATGCTTTGTATAATCTGATTTATTAGTTAGGGCAGTAGATTTTTATATAGAGAAACCGTGTTTTATTTCTGCATTGTTCTGACTCACTTTGTTGCTTTCACCAAATACTGTAGTTAAAAACAATGTCAGAATTTCAGATTCAGACTTGAGTTTGAATTCTGGCTTTGCCACTTAGTAGCTATTTGGCCTTGTGCTAATTACTTAACTTCTCTGATTGTAGTTTCTTCATCTATAAAATGGGGATATGATGCTTACACAGAACTGTGTGAGAATTAGATGAGATAACTTAAATTATTAGCACATAGTAGGTGCCTGGTAAATGATAGTTTCTCTGCCAGCTAAAGCCTATCCTCTGATCCCCACCCTGGCTTAAAATCTTTTGCATGCTAGAGGCATTATTTGATTATACTAAACTGAAGTGGAATCTCACTGTCCCCATTTCTTCCTATGTGTAGGCAGAAAAAGAAGGCTGTATAGCCATGCAATCTTCAGATCCAGCACACTTAACTCCTAAAAGGACAAGTGTTTTTGCAAACAATTTGAATGGCGCTATTGGAATTTCTAGGTTACCCCCTTCCCAGATGCTTGGGGATGAAATAGAAGATAGAGAGAATCAGAATGAATTATTCCAACAACAAGCCCAGGCTGTAAGTACATACTCATCTTCCCAGATGCTTGGGGATGAAATAGAAGATAGAGAGAATCAGAATGAATTATTCCAACAAGCCCAGGCTGTAAGTACATACTCATTTTTTTTTTTTATGTCTATGATATTTTCCCCTATCCCCCAAACCAAAAATATGACATCTAGGATATGAAGTGAGGATTAGGAATTATCACATACAATTTCACTTTTATCATGTGACTTTTTTACCTTTGTAAAGTGGGGAATAATGGGATAATGCTCATTTTTTATGTATATATTTTAATTTACATTTATTTATTTTTGTTAAGACCCTTTAGAATCACCTAAAGAAATGTGCGAAAGTATTAGAATTCAAAACTTGCTAGAAAGAGCTTTAAGTCAAAGAACATAGATTTTCCCAGTTATACTGAGATTATGTTCTGGGTAAGTTACTATCAGTTTCTAGCATACAGACAGAAGTGATTCTTACATTTGTTGCACAGAGGTTCAGTACATATATGGGGTATTTCATTTATTATTTATCTTTGTCTCTTTTTTATTTCTGTCTTTTAATCTGATTATCACAACAAATGGATCTATAGTTATAGGTCAAGTAATAATATACTAAACACAACATTTCCAGCGTCTTTGGAAAAATGAAAATTTTACTTAGTGACTCATTTTATATGCCTGCTGTTTAAAAATTAACCACTATGAATAGACTCATCCACTCAAATCAATTGACTCCATCCAGTCAGCTCTCTCCTTGGTGTACCTGAGATTTTGTCCAGTTGATATCCTATTTTTCAACTCTGCTTTGGGAATTGTTCTTCATGTTATCATTTTTTTTTTCTTTTTGTCTTTTTTCGTGACCCGTAACGGGATCGCAACTCTCGGTGTCGCGCCCGCACCGCACTCAGCCAGTGAGCGGACCGGTCTCTATATGGGATCCGAACCCTCGGTGGGAGCGCCGCTGTACTCCCAAGCCCCGCACTCAACTGAGTGCGCCACTGGGCCGGCCCCTTTCATGTTATCATTTAAAGGCAAATTCTTAGGGATTGTGAGAGGAAGAGAGAAAATGTGGAAAATGATGAGTATGTTAAAATAAAAACTGTGTTACTGCCTAAGTTAACAAGCTTAGTCTCCATAATCTGATCTATTAGCATAAATGGGGAAAGCTTTAGAAGCACATGTTATCATGTTGAAATACTTAAAATAATTTAATTTTTTTGTGTGTGTAAAACTGTGACTTTTTCTCAACATTGTTCATTTTATAGTAGTCATTTTTGTAATCATTGTTTGTTTGTTTTTTTTTTAAGATTACGAACAGTTTGTTTAGCAAATGTTTATTGAGCCAGGCACTGCATAAAGTACAAGGAGTAGAACATTGACTAAAACAGACACAGTCATTATCTTCATGGTGTTTGCAGCTGTAAATCCCATTGTAGTGAGGATTTTACTTCATCTGTATAATACATGAATAGAACTCATCAGTCAGCAGATTTTTTAATATACTGTGTTTGTTAAGCATTATAAGAATGCTAATGAAATGTGAAGTAGGACCCTCCATGGGTTTATATTTCTAGGTAGAGATACAAAGCTAATAGACCCCAGTCTATTAGATAATAATACAGAGACATTTGCTGTATTTGGCAATAAAGTTTGTGCTCTGGGAGTTCAGAAAATTTAAAATTCCAAGGAAATAAGGGAAGAATTCATGGAAGAGATGGAATTGAACTGTACATTTTAATTTAAAATTCCAAGGAAATAAGGGAAGAATTCATGGAAGAGATGGAATTGAATTGGTAAATTCAAGAGAATTTTTGAGATAGGAGGAACAGTTAAAAGTTAAACAGTTAGAAATTAGAATCTACAATGAGCTTAGTATTAGTATATTTGGGAATAGAGCCTTTCTAATTAATAGTTTATAAAGGAGCATACAGAAAATGAGGTTAGATAGGTAGGAGGAAATCAGGTGATGAAAAGGCTTAAATATTATAAAATTTCAAAAAGTTTTTATACCCTGTTTTTTTTGTTGTTGTTGTTTGTTTTTTTCATCTTCTTGAAATAAGATGAACTACTAAAGAATGCTCAGTGACTTAAACAACTATTTGGGGCCTGTAAACTTTTGCTCATACAGCTCCATGACAGTAGATGCTTTTTAATCTTACCATGTCTGTTGCAGTTCTTATCCACTAGATGTCACTATGACTAGACAATGAGACAGTGTTCAAGCACTAACTCCCTTAGTTTATCTAGAACTCGTTGAATAAATGGGGAACATAATTCACTTTCTGAATGTTAGTGGACTTTTCAGTTTTCTTGTGTTTTGGAGCTATAGAAACACAACTTGGAGTTGGAAGGGTTTTAAAAGTTCATCTGTAATATTGAAATATTTAAAGATGAAATGATTTGGCGTCTGGAATATACTTTAAGGTAATATAAGAATGAGGTAAAAAGTAGGGAGTTTGGATAAAGCAAGATTGGCCAGGAGTCGATCATTTTAAAGTTGGGTAATATGTCCATGGATATTATAGTATTCTGTCTACTTCTGAATATGTATGGTTTTCCATATGTTTGAATTTATTTAAACTTTTAATTAAATGTTAAAAAAATATATATTATCTGGTCCAGCCCTTCTCTTTCTAAGGAATTCTTTTTATACCATTTCTAATATATGTGTGTGTGTGTGTGTATATATATATATATATAGCCATCTAATTTCTGCTAGAACACTTCTGCTGTTGGAGAACTTACTACTTTTTCAGACTGTTCATTTCGTTCTTAGAAGACTTGAAAATATTACAGCTATTTCTTCAATATATTGAGTGAAAATCTTTCTCCCTATAACTTTTACCCATTGGTTTTAGTCTTGCCCTCTCAATAAAGAATAAAATACCATCTGAGGGCACTTCATGTGTTTAATTATAGTTAATTTTTTTTTTTTAGGTTTGTACATTCCTAATGCCTTGGTTCATTTCTTTGGAATGCTATTTAGTTTTTCTATATTCTTCTTAAATATGACCCCCAAAACTGAACACAGTACTGTATTTCAAATGTGATTCGGCCAGGATCTGTCCTATTTTATACTCACACATCACCCTCTACATAATAATGCTTAGTATTACCTACTTGCTTGAAGATCAGATTAGATTAGGTACCCAAAGTTAGGAACTAGAATTGTAGAACTGGAAGAAATTTCGAGTGGTCACATAAAATAGAACCAGCCCTTTCTCTTTGTTAAGACTGATATTTATTTTTAAGGACCAGGTTTCTATGGTGTCTCTTGATAACTGCATTTTGGTGGGGAATTGAAGAACATCTGATCATTGTTTTATTCTCACCACTTAAAAACGTTTTATCTATCTATAGACTATGTAGTTCACCACTGTTTCTTTTCTAGCATGGTTTATTCTGGTTCTTTATTTGCTTCTCACTGAATCATTTACTATCTTGTTTGTACTTTTATTCTCTCTTTACAATGCTGGTTCTCCAGCTTTTTAAAACCCTAGAAATGATTACTTTTTGTAGTAAAGTTTTTTTTTTTAAAGTTTATCTATTTATTAATATTATTATTGTGTTACATTCTAAGATGTCGTGGAGCAGTTGGAGGGGAGGGGGAGAGGGAAAGGGGGAAGAAAATAAGGTGGGAGAATGAGGAAGGAGGGGAGGTGTGGTTGAAGCCTGTGGCACCCCCCTCATTTCTGCAGAGGAGACCAGGGGGCTTCCAGTGGTGGCTCGGTCATTGCTGGGCTGGATGCCTATGTCAGGTGGGTGTGGCTGAAGCCCTTGGCCCCACCACCCTGGCTCAGGAGACAAAGGGTCTTTTAGCAGTGGCTTGGTGGTCATTGCTGGGCTGGTTGCACAGTTCAGGGGGCTGTGGCTGAAGCCCTTGGCCCCCCACCACCCTGACTCAGGAGCCTAGGGTGTTTCTGGCAGCAGCTCAGTGGTTGTTGCTGGGATTGGTTGCGGGTGTTGGGGGGAGCATGGCTGAGGCCCCCCCCCCCCCCCCCGGCCCGGGAGTCTGGGGCACTTCCTGAGGTAGTTTGGTGGTTGTTGCTGGGATTGGTTGCGGGTGTGGGGGGGAGCATGGCGGAGGCCCCCCCCCCCCTCCCCGGCTCAGGAGTCTGGGGCACTTCCTGAGGTAGTTTGGTGGTTGTTGCTGGGATGGTTGTAGGTATTGGGGAGACAAGGCCAAGGCCCCCCAGTAAAGGTTTAAGTCAGATGAAATAACCTGCTAAATTCTCTGTAACCTACCATTGAAAAAACTAGTGTTTCAGTTAGGTTCTTTTGGCTGCAAGATCAGGCTAATGCAAGCAAGGGGAAAGTTTGCTTCAATAATACACATGGGGTAATAAAGACAGAATCAGAATCTCACACAAATCCAATCTTCCTTAAGGAGTCTGCAACTGGAGAGTTTTTCTGGATCTGAGGTAGCTCCATGGACTCCAAGAGCATGGGATCTTTCATCTTTACATTAGTATTTATTTAACCATTAAGGTGATTGATTCAGTTGCTCTCATAGGTTAACCAACCTTTCCCATTTGCCTGAGATTGAGGGGTTTTCCAGGACATGGAACTTTCAGTGCTAAAACTGGGACAGTTCCAGGCGACTGGTGTAGTTGGCCAGCTTGTCTCTCAACATTTGTGCTTCTCTCTTATTTACTTATTTTTCTACTACTAACTGATATTCTCTTCTTTTCATCACAGCTTTATAACTTTGGCATACTTGAGGTTCTTTCAGTCTCTTTTCTCCAGTTTAGGACTTTTTAGGTTCAGGTCCTGTCCTGACTTTTCTTTGAGTATTTCCTAATTCATTATCTGAGATAAGAAATCTTTATTGGCCCAGTTTGCCTTTTTTGCCTTAGGTCTAGGTTACTGGCCATCCTATAGATTGGTAGCTATAGTGATAAAAGAAAGCTATTGCAACAGATGCATTGTATTGGAGTTCACGGACTGTTATAAGGGACTCATGTTAGTTAAGTTTAACCATATAATATTTTGTGGCCATTGAAAAATCTA